TCTAATCTTATTGAGCGCTATTTATATTTATAAAAGCAAAAAAAAAAATAAAACAAAAACGACAAAAAAAATTAAATTTGTAAAATGCATTATCTTTACTTAGAGTGAGAATTCTCCGAATTAAGTTTTCTGCTCGCCTAAGATATACTGGTAATATTATCAATTTTGCGTATTACTTTTTTAATGTAGCTTTTTATGCTATTACATTCGTACATGTATTCTATCAGTCTAGGGCTAAGTGAATCGCTTGACGATGAACGTTACTTGTATATTGTTCATTCCGATGAAAAACAAGTTACTCCGAAGAACAATATCTTTCGGATAAGAAATAGATTAAAAACTCATCACAATGGAGAATTTGAGTAATTTAGTGTAAGCAACCCGTTAATCAAAATTAAACTATATGTTTTCAGAGCTAAAGAATTCGAGCGTTAGAAACTTAACTTCATTTATACTTTAAGGGACCCATCAATAAAGCAATAGGGCGCAATCGGTCCATTTAAAAAAACAATCAGTGGATGCAGTCAGAGATAATTATTTCCCTATGAGATCTCTCTGCTCTAATGATTTATATAGAAAGACCGATACAGAATGCTAGAAATTTGTTATACTTTATCTGTATGCTAAATACTTTTGTCACATATATCTGTCATTTGTCTTTATTAGGAAAGCTAAAGACCGACTAATTAATATCATCTGATTGGAGAAATGCAAAGACCATCCTTTGCTTTTCTTTTTTCTCCTTTTCGATAGAAAAAAACATGTCTATCAGCCAGTCTTTTCTATTTTATGCTCTTTTATAATCTTGTGATTAGATTATAATTTATATATCAAATATCTAAAACAGGTAAAGTTTCTTATTATTTCACAAAAAAAAAGACAGAAATTCCGTTATAAGAAAAATAAAATTCATGTAATTCAATAGTTTTAGTTGAAACTGATGATACAACATCAGTGCAATCATCTTGAGAGTGTACATCTAGATGTAAATCTTCTCTGCATTCAAGCCATAACAAGTCAAGAGAGACTATTTAGTTTATTTTGAACATCGTTTTGAAATTAGTTTAGACACAATATTACATTAATTTGTATTTAAAAAAATATTTTTAAAATAAATAAATGGATTAATATCAGAGTTGAACTGAAATATTTTTTATAATGATTCGTTAAAAATAAACGAATTTCTTCCTCTGTAAAGTTTCTATTGTATCATATATGACCTTCCTTCATATCCATCTATGACAGTTTAGAGATGTATTTTGCAACATTCCATATACTTTTTCAAAGGCAAAGAAAAACAGCACGACGTAAAAGTGTCAGCTTAGCATTAGTATTAAGAAAATGCTAATGCTTTTGTATTAGGATTATAAAAATAATTTAATTCTTTGGTATTAGTATTAAATTTGCATTAACTTATTACTAACACTTATATTTCCCAAAAACAGAACAAAAGTGTTGCGTTATACAAAGAAAATTTCTAAAACAGAACAATTTTTTTCCGTTATGGGAATTCACTTCCAAAATAAAAAATAGAGTAAAATTGTTCTGTTTTAGGGAAATATAAGTATTAGTATTAGATTAATGCAAATTCAATACTAATGCCAAAGCATTAAATTTTCTTCATCTTGATATAAAAGCATCAAAGTTAGTATCAAATAATTCAATAATAAGGCTAAGTCGATACTCCTAAGCGATATTTCTAGCAAAGTAGCTTGAAGATGAAAGTGTCACATGATCTGAAATATACTAAAAAACGGAAAACATTATCTTTATGAAAACATATAATGACGAACATTCATAAGTTTAGAGCTATTATTTTTTTGAAAGTTTTCTTCTCGATTTTAATAATAACTAGCAAGCATTTGAAAAAGAAAATCGATGTAGTTGAACTGGATAAAAGTCTACGAAAAAACTAAGAAGCTTCAAAACCAGCTATTCTGACTTTCATTCAAAATTTATAAAAAAAGATTTTATTGAAAAGAGTCAAATGATATGTCTTCGAATTCTCAATGACCTTTCTTTATTAAATAGGATTCAATTTACAGAAAACTCAAGAAACATTGTTCTCTTATTTATATTGAAAACCTCAATGTTTTTGAAATGTGTGACAGTTTGAGACCTTCTGTTCCCCCATAAACTTCGAATAGATGCCAGAAAACTAGTTTGGAAGAGTCTTGATCTTCCGTAGCCTCTCTCATCCAAACAATTTTGTTGGAGTTATTCGAATAGAAAATACTTTCAGCTAGACAAATATTTTTTTCAGATTTTTGAAAGTTATTATCATCGAAAAGAAAACACAAAAATACAACTATTCTAAAAATATGTCCGCCACTCTGGTACATTTATAGAATAACGAGATACTTATGCTAAATTAACTTCATTTCCTTCAGTCTGAAGGTATATTGTTTATATTTCTGATAATAAGATTTTTACACTAAATCAATTCATATTCCTCGACTTTGAAGATATATTATTTATAATTTAAATGACGAAGTCGTTAGTCGTTCGCGTAAGGCTTTCAATCTAGAATTGAATACGGTTCAGTGGATTATTTTCTAGAGTATTTGTGACTTTTAGGTTTCAATATCGGCTGTAACCATATAAGAACATCTATGTGAAAAACAAATTTTCCTTGTTTCCTTATCTATGTCGTCGTATAAACATGCAGCTCGATCATTGTCATCACATAATTAGTCAAATTTATTTTCAAAATCATTGATTGAATTAGCACGTATAAAAACAACCCATTTGAAATACTATTCATTATCTAGCTTTTTAATGCAATTCAATAACAATTTAGAAAGAACGCCTCGTTGTAAATTAAACAATGAGATTTGAATTAAGACTAAATAAAGCTAATATACTATATTAAAAACAAATCAAAATAAAAAAGACACAATTTCATAATCCATAGAAAAAATTTCGTGATATAATTATCTTTCAATTTACACTAATAAATCCTATAATGAAAAGCATATTTTAATTATAATGTTTCAGTTAATACAACAAAATTGCAAATAAAAGATCTAATGTTATAATATTCTTCGTTTTCTGACACTTCTATTATTCTCATACATTCGCCTGGAATGATTTTAGTTTTATTTTATCTGATAGAATTATAAGGATTTGAATCAATGAATATGAATAAAAGCATTATGTTTCAATTTTAAAGAAAAAAAAAAGATAACGGAAATGAAGAGTAGTCTTATATCAATTGACATGTAACTTATGCTTTGACATTTTCTGTTAGTTATTTATGTCACATTGAGATTGTTACTTTTTCTTCAAATTCTTTTTTTTTTCCATAATGTAATTTATTTACATCAGTACATAAATCGCTATTGACACAGACACAATTCAAATAACAATGAGATTATTACGATCCATTTGTTTTGTTTATCTATTTTCTTCGCGTTTCGTCATCTAAATAATATATACTATTATTACAAATCATTTGTAATAGAATCTGTGAGAAGACAAAAGAAAATAAACAGAGAAATTCTTAGATAAACATCTTCAATTTGACTTCATAGACTGTATCAGATAAATTCATGTTCTATGAAGTAGAAAGATAAGACAACTTTCTTTATTATAAACAATAACACATTTAGAATTGCATTTCAATGAATGGCATATGCTGTTAATCTTATTACAAATAAAGAATACTGTATGTCTTCTTTTGACAAGTGTCAATATCTCTTTGCCTTTTCCGTCGCTCTTGTTGACATCTACATCATTACTACGTCACTCGAGTTTCCTTTCTTTTTTTTTTCTATATATTTTAAGAAATTTCATCGATATGTTGTATCAATAAGAGATTTTCATCAAACCAATCAATAAAAACAGCTGTACACAAGAAAAACATATCATTTTTAGAATTGTCCGTCACTAGTTCTATATTTTTCCAATTGTTTAAATGTTTTTTACTGTTATATATATATATATGTATATTCGAGATCTGTTGCTTTTTTCTTATAGTTAATACATATCAGTTTTTGTTTTGTGACATTCTGTCAAATAAGCGCGATAATCAAATATGTAAATCTTATTTGTATTTAACTTCCGTCTAATAATTAAGTAGAATAAAAGATAATAGAGAAGCATTCTTTTTTCTTCTGTCATGTAACCTTATTATCATTTTTCTATTTTTTTGTGACACTGAGAATATATGTGTTTGCATGTCTAATATATCTATATTTCTTATTATATATATATATCTATGTATTCTCCTGGAAAAAAAAAGTTCGACTTAATATTTTTGATAAGTCATTGCTATAGAATCAAATATTCTTATAAACGTAATTCTATATTCTGATAGCGTGCAGAACTCTCTACAACTCTATATATGTGAATTTTGAATTACAATTTGTTCGCTCAAACAGAAATTTGAACATAGTAAAGGCATCCTCGTTATCAGATTCTTCGAACATGTATTTTTTTGTTCTTTTTTATTTTCAATTTTATTTTTATATAAAAACGAGGTATTACAAAAGTAAGTGTATCTATATTTTGCAAGTGTATGAAATTCTCTATCATTCTATTCTTGTATAATAATTATTCATAAGTCTTATTTGATTGCTCGATAACCATATGTAGACTGCTGTATGAGTTACTTGATGTATAGTCGAGAGTGAAAGAGTCAGAAAGTACACTAAATGTATACAAATATTTGTCATCAAATAATTGAAAGTCAATATTAGGAAAACTACGCATTGATGTTTGAACTTGTTTTCAGAAAATATACTTAATTTTGTGATAATTTATTTTCACATTAAAATCAATTCAAAAAAAATGAATGAACATGAAACAAAAAATGCATTTTCGAAGAATCTGACGATGAATATATATCTTTACTGCGCTTGAATTTCTATTGTAACAAACAAGTGAAATTTAAAACAAACATATATGAGATGGTAGAGAATTTCACTAACTTAGGTGTCAGAATAGTTAATTACTATTATCAGAATATTAATTTATCATAATGAGATATTAAAAATATTAAGCCTAACCGTTTTTTTCCAAAGGATATATATATATAAATATAAATATGGTTCGGATTAAGTTTCTCTAAATGACGCCACATATTTTTACTTGATGGAAATGTCCTAAAGAATTTCGGAATTGTATCCATCGTTTGTTTTTGCTTCTATTACATTCTAGAGGAAAGGGTATTCTAATAATTTTCTTCGCTTAATTTCGTATCATATTATTATCTTTCTAAAAATTCGGTTTTTAGATTAAGCTGTAAATTCATTACGATAATATACGGTGACCTAGACGAGACACAAAACTTACTATTATAGGAAGAAAAGAAAAACAAAAGGTAGGTGTCATTATAGTCACACAACAGAACCGAGATGAATAAAAGTATATAGGAAGAAAAGATTAGATATAAGTGGTAGAATGCCGGTAAAAAGAACAATAAATTTTGTTCTTATTGAAGATAATCTACAATAAAGTAAAGCCTAAGGATTAAAAAGAAAAAGAGGCCGATAATGAACAATCATTTATTGAACTTTCAATAGATGAATCAAGTGTCATAAATATAGTGTTCTTTTTTTTTTTTACTTCCTAGTTATATTTCTAGCATTGTTATACTAGAATATATAGGATTACTGACAAAAAAAAACTGCTATCATAATCTATTCGAGACTAAAGTGTGAAGCACAATTGAACCGTTGGTAGTGTAAAAGTAGGAAATCATGATCAATAGATATTTTAGTTTATGAGTTTTTCCCTACTGTTAGTACGAGATCTTAATCGTGATATATTATATATCATAATAATCTTCCAGTTATTTTTGTAAGAAGAAGATTCAAATTTCGATTGATTTTAGCTCGTGTTTCACAAAAACGATACCTCTAAGTCAGAATGAAATATTCTATAAACACGTTTTTTTTTACAGATTATTAGAAATATAGGTGTCATACGGTGTGAGAATGATAAAAAAACGACGAAGCTATTTTTTAGTTTCTTTATAACCATCTGAGATTTATATAAGATCATAGAAGTTTATAAATAGTGTTCGATGGCTAATAGAGATTTGCATATAAATAACTGTACTATTAGTCACGTATATAAATCTAAGAAATTTTCTTTATATATTATTGTTTAAAGTTGAATTAATCAAATTTATTTAATGGAAGTGTCAGTAGTTAATCTCTTTTGATTAACGACTTTCTATTAGAATATATAACTACTAGAATAATTAAAGAAAGAAAAATAATTCGATGCGTGATTATATTTTCATTGATAACGATTAATCCTATACATATATATACATGTAATTCATCACTATTTATCATTCTTGAAAGAAATAATTAAAGATATTTTTTGACTTTTAAATATTATTATGAATTATCTTTAATAAAACTAATGAATGACAAAAGTCAGAAATATTTTTTTGTTCAAATATACTCTTCTGAATAAAAAAATTCACCTATAATATAGACTTAATTATTATGTAATGTCTGTTGATATCTTAGGATTGATCATTTGAATAAGTCAAGTAAGATGAATTTAAATACTAAAAATTTATTTCAGTTTATAAAGTTATTATATTTCATGATAAACAACAAATGTTAATATAACGTATCGCAATACATTAGGAGAAGATATACAACACGTTTCCGATAATTTGCAGTGTATATTTATCCTTATTTTTCTATTCATCCACTAACTATAACAGATAGAAAGATCTGCCACAGTCTAGAAGATAAAAACACATAACAGATACAATTTTGTCATTTGAGATTGCAATGGTCACAATAATCATTCTCTATAGAAAACAAACAGTTCATTATGCTTGACTATTAGTGAAATCATATGGAATTTTTTCGTAGAAAATAAACTTTATTACATCTTATATATAAATAAATATGGACGGTTTTATTTGTATATTTGTAATTTTTATATCTAACAAAAATACAATTATATATTCTTACAACTAATAGTAAGAATATCAACAACAAGAACTATCCTTAACTCATTTGTTTTCTTCTTCATCTTATTCTTATATACCATGATACATCTGTTACATTGATGAAATATGACTTAGCTATTTCTTGAAGTAAAAAATATAGTCTATATCAATAGGCACTAGTTTTTGTGTTAATCTTTCCTTTTTTTTCCCTTTAGAGATACTTTCATACTTAGTTGTTTGATATAAAAAATTGATGAATTGTATGAATGCTGTTATCATTAGTCTTCTATCTCTGTTGCATTTGACAATTATAGGATGTTTTTAGTTAAGATTCGATTCTAGTGTAAGTAGTTTATGTTAGAAATTAAGAAAAAGAATACAAAAAACGATCGGACTAATTATTTCCTTATCATCAAAAGTATTCCACAAATAACGGTCTCGTGTGAATAAATAACTTCAGTTGATTCTTTATTGCTATAACCTGACGGAAATGCAAAATAAGAGTAGAATTTCTTTTTTCTTTATTTTATATATGGTAACATAGTGTATAGTGAATTGATCAAGAATATTTGTCTTGTGAAATTTTTGAAATGACTATTTAGCGAAAAAACTTTCAGTTTTTTCCTGATGAACCGCCTTTTTTTTATGACAAACAGCCTTATTTTTCATAACCGACAAATATTCAAGTTCTTCATTTCCTTTAAGTTTGAAACTGTCTGTGGCAAATTTGTCGTCAAAAAAGTGAATCTAGGAAACACATTTATAAATGAGTTTCCTATGTTCACTTTTTCACACTAAATCTGACGCAGACAGTTTTTGAAATTTCAAGGAAATGAAAGCAATGAATATTTGTCGGTTATCAAAAATGTACCTGTTTTGCACAATAAGACAATTCATTTGAAAAAAAACTAAAATTTTTTCCGCTATAAGAATAATTTTGAAACATTTGAAAACGTGCATATTCTTGATGAGCTCGATACTCTCTATGTTACCATATATAAAGTAAGTAAAAACGATATTTTGTTCTAAATGTACATTTCCGATACTTCAAATAATGTGTATCTCTTATTCCTCTATATAAATAGACAGAATATTTTGTTTCATAATAAATATCACTTTGAATCAATAAAATATATATTCTTATAATTATGTTTAGATAAAATGGCAACGTCAAAAGGTAATAATACATCATTATCATTTCAACCAGATGATTTTATTCGTGAAGAAGTGAATAAATATATGAAAAAAATCAATTTTGCTCTTACATTTCCTCAAACATTTATTGTTATCAGTGGTGTACTTGGAAATATTCTTGCATTAATTGTTATTAATAGAAAATCATTAAAAAATACTTCAGCAGCTGTATTTATAACTTATATGGCAATATTTGATAGTGCAGTTCTTTTGTTGCATGGTGCAAATTTAGTACGACCACGTCGAAATCTTTTTATACATTGTTCATTAACATATCTTACGGATTTATTTACTTTTTGTGCTAATTGGGTTTTAATTATCATAACATTAGGTAAATTAAAAAGGCTATACAATTATATTATTGAGAACTTTTAATTCTCATCTCAGGATCGAATAGAATTGTCCGTGAAATACCAGAAATGATTCGGATATGACAAAAAATAGCTACCGTTTCGATGATTATTTACGTCCTATCGAGAATGACCATTGTTACAACCATCAGTTTGTTCTGTTTTTATATAAAATCAAAAAGTGTTTTATAAACATTATTAGAGATCTTTTAATGATGGTTGATAGATGATAAGAACTTACTGATCTTATCTACTTATTCTAATTGATCTATTTTCTAATTTTTCGTGCAAGTGTTCTGTTGAGATTAAATTACACTTTACTCTTTTTTTTCTCTTAAATCTGAAGCCCTAATTAACATTCTTGAAGTAGTTTGAGCACCGATGGATAGATTTTGTTGAGAACTATTTGACTATACGATGTGTGTTTTACAAAAATGTCTCTATGTCACACAATGATTGATATGATATCAATATTGAGTCATTGAGTGAATGTACACATTTTCGCATATTCTTCCCTCATCATTTATGTTCATAGACAAGTTCTATAGATGAAGAGAATTCATTCAATTGTCTTCTAGATGCCTAGTGGGAAGTTGATCCGAATTCTAAGGATGTTGCTGACTACATATCGAAACAAAAGCTTGTAAATGTTTAAAGCTGACAAAAAACGACTGTAGTGAGTTGCTTGTTAAAAAAATAGATTCTTGACATTGCAGGTGTTTGTATTAGTAAATTACTTTATCTAAAAGTACGTTTAATGGTACTTTCACGCACCGTAATCATGATTATTGTGTCTATGTACGCATTTTTTTCATAAATCTACTGTGGATGTACCTTATGCTTCGAGTATTGTAACTTGTGGGTCAGGTATTCTACTGGGTATGGTTTCGAACAATAGAAATACGGATACGAATAGGGTACAGGTACAATAAGTTTTACCCGTGTTGTATTTTATCAACTGTCAACGACGTAATTAGATCATTAAGGGAAACAGTGATGATGCATGTGATAATACAAATTCAGATTGATGTGATGAAATAAATGATTATATAAAAAAACAATTCGTTTGTCCACAAGATATTGACATGTTAAAGTATTAGTAAAATTATTCCGTTGTTTATAGATAGCTATCTCATTTTGAACTTTCGAAAAATCTCGATTCTTCTGAAGATTACCGAAGTCTAATTGGTTATTATCTGAAGCGATTAATCATTTTGTCTGAAACTTTTCGAACAATATTAGAACCATGAGATCTACTTCTAGAAAGAAAAAATTAAAGTCAAAAATATTTTGTTAAACTTTCTTGCTAATCTCTCGTCCTATGCTAATAATTCAGCAAAAGCATGATAATTCTTTATGGGAAACCTACAAGCCGAAATCCTTTTCAAGTTATTCTAGTGTATAGATTCTCTCTATAACGTTCAAAATATGAGTTCGAAACTAATCAATCATTTCGAGCAAGTAAGTTCTTAAAGTTTTAAGAAAGATTTGAGAAAAATAGCATTAACTCATATGAGACTAGAATTAATTTCTTTTTACAATTTTCATTAGACATCTTACATATTTGATAAGCTATTCTTTATCATACGTTGATATCAAGATATTCAATAATTTGTTTTTTTTTTTTATTTTATTTTTTATTTTTAATCTCAATCTCTCGGTTTATGCGCAGAGATCTGCAAGATTACAATAAAATATTTTATACATTGAACAAATAAATTAATCATTTAAAATAAAATAAAAAATATTTTAAACTTGAAAAGCGTGTTTTTTTTTCTCTTTAATTTAGAACGTTGTATTGCTGTTACATCTCCATTGCTGGCCAAACGTTTTTGTACTATTAATTCAGCACGTTATTCCCTATATATTCTGTTAACAGTAACAATTATGTTTTTTTCTACAACATTTCCAATAATATATCAAGTAGATGCATCTCCAAAACGAAAAAAATGTGTTGTACGTCCTGAATATGGATTAATTCTTCGTGTTTATCAACCAATTGTAATGTATTGTTTACCAGATATATTGCTATTATCAAATTTTTTTACTATTTATACATTATTCCGACGACGTAAACAACAAAAATTAAATCATGAAAATTTAAATATGCGTGTGACAGATATTCATTCAAATCGTAAACAACATCAATTAACTATAATGCTTGTAACAGTAAATCTGGCTTTTTATTTATTTTCAACACCAGCTACAATTATTTTTATTGCTGAATCTTCTCCACCAAAACATCGTGAAATCAATAGACTTAAACGTTCTTTTCTTTTCTCACAAATATCTGTTCTATTTTTACAATTACATAATGCTGTAAGTTTACAGAAACAGAAAAAAAACAAATAATATTAATTATTTTTTATTATTCTTTAGACAAATTTTATATTCTATTGTTTGGCTGGTCAACGATTTCGTCAAGCTACAGTAGAAGCATTTTATGATTATTCAAATCAATTGAGACTTTTCTATCATCGATATATTCTATGCGATAAGCAATATAGACTTTCAATGAATTATCAACCTACAAATATGTACAGTACAATAGGAACGAATCGTGTTTCATATCCAATGGTAAATCTACGAGCTTCAAATAGAACATTCACCATTTAGTACATCGTTTTTTGCTTCATAAAAACAATCTCATTTTAATTTACGTTGTTCATAGAGACTTAATTGTCACATATAAATTCCATTAATAAAAAAAAAAAAAAACTTAATTATTATAATCTTGCACGAAATGATTAGACATCCATGTTTTTTTTATTGTTCATGATTTTTCTACTAGTGTTTAATACATACAATTCTTATGAAAATGGACTTGGACTTCTTTTTTTGTGATATATAAATCCTGGATCAAAGATAAATGTTTAGGTTAATAATAATCTGTTATCATCCACCAATATAATAACAATCATGATTATATAGTCGCAGAATCTACTCATCTCATCAATAGGTTTAATTAGAATACGAAGTTGAAGCAAATAAAAAATAACATACATGCAGATTGGTTTTTGAAATTTTAAAGTACTAAGTATATCTGAAAGTTGAAAGAACGCTTCTAAGTTGATCATTTGAATAATGAAGATTACAATTCACTTGAGATTAAAGAATTAAGAAAGAAGACAAACTTTGTAATATTAGAAAAGAAGGAAAGATACTTCTGCTTTTCAGCTAGTTTGCAGTATAGGATGCTGTCTAATGACAGATTCTATAGCTCAACACTTTCCCTGAAACTAATACTGGTATTAGCTTTAGATAAGAGACTGTATGCTATCGGACGGATAATGCGAGACAAGTAGCAGTTAATAATTTGTTGAGGATCATTCCATAGATGGTGGTACTCTGATTTTCAGACAGTATTTTGTGGATATGATCTAACAACGTAATCACTCCTGAAGAGGCCGTCTGAATCGATTCATCGCTTTTAATACCATATTTTGCTCATAAATAACAGACTTGTAGACTAGGAACAGTCGAAGATGATATAGGCCATGTAGTGGCTTGATTGAGATAGAGAAGTTTTATTGAAAACTTCTTGTGGGACTTTGGTTTTCCAGAAAAATCATATTTTCGAACTGTGATATGAAGCTTTGTGCATATAGAGACTGTAATTCTGCTAGTTTGTGCGAAAATCTCAGAACTATTTCACATAGCATAATCGAAGTATGAATTTTTTAGAATAGTCACGTTTTATACAATGCCTATTAAAAAAACATCTATATTTTGAAAAAAATCAGATCTCACTTATGCAACGTGGAACAATTTTGAATTTTTTTTGTACAAGCTAGCCGAGTTGCGGTCTCGATATGAATAAAGTTCGGAAGCATGATTTTGTCGAAAAGTTAAGATTCTGAAGGAAGATTTCTATCTCAGTCAACTTGCAATATGAATTCATATTATCTTGGACTTTTCCTAGTCTACACCTCTGCTACTTATGGGCAAAATAGAAAGCCAAAACCGGTGAATCACTTCGAACGATTCCCTTGCCAATCATGGCAACTTTGTAATATTAGACAATAGTATTCATAATGCAAAATCAAATTTTAATAGAAAAAACGATTTAGAAATATGACAACTAAATTAATCGAAGAATCAAAGTCAAGGGGGAACAAGCGTACTTCTGTGCTTCAGAAGTACAGAAGTACCAAGAAGTACCAAGAAGTACCGAGAAGTACGAAGAAGTACGAAGAAGTACAGAGAAGTACGAAGAAGTACAGAAGTACGCTTGTTCCCCCTTGGCTAAATGTCATGAGACGTAGAATTGTGAGTATAAAATTTTTACTATGTTGTGCCTATTTTTCAAAAGATGACGATTCTTCAATTCATAATTTAAATCTCCCGATAAAATAAATGGAGCCTAGTCAAACTTGATCCATTCAAATTGATTTGTACATTGATTTCGAAAAGCAATGTTTATTCGCTATGGTCGAATTTCTCAGAGTTAAAAAAAAAAACATTACTTTGTTCAGCAAAGTCAACATATATAATTGTTATTATTTTGTGCTTGTGCAACATCAAGCTAATATTTGCGTTGGATATTCAGATTTGAATGATTTGCGCCCTATGCTAGAAGATAGTGCACCTTCAAGACTTTACAAAACCTACTGACACTGTGTTGTGATAATTGTGAAACCATTCGAAAAAGTATAGCTTTACTTAAGAAAATATTTGTAACAATACACTTTGCATTTTCTTCATTTTGATACTTCTAACAATTTCTCATGAAATTCTGCACATTTGGATTCTGCAATAAAAGGGTCAAAACATTTTTTTAGGGGATTGAATAGGAAACCTTTAAGTGCAGAAATCAACTCGATTAAGTTTAAACTAGAGAAGAAATATTAAAAATAGAAACAGTTGAATTTATTTTAGACCACCTATTGTATGTCGGAGGCTAATATAAAACTCAAGTCGATTCAAGAATGAAACTAATCATGAACTAACCAAGGCAGCTCTCAGAGAGAAGATTAAACTAATGCTACACCAAGTCGAGGAAACAGTTGACAACAAAGCTCGAATCAGTCTCCTGATGAATTTTAGGTTTTGATTAGTTTTAATGTGCTATGATAAGGAAATGGTATTTCAATGAATAATATCATCAATTGATGAATTACGAGATAGTCTTAGAATTTATAAATCTTTTTATGCAGAATAGCAGCTTCTACGGAAAACAGTTGATCGGTCACTTGACTCACACTGTGTCTGTTAAGTGACCATTGACTTCGTTAAAATATCAGTGTCTTATGGTAATTCACCAAAAGTAAACTGGATCTGACTTAGTTCTAGAGACTTGTTTGAGTTTTACCTTAAATAACTTTCTCGATTCAATTTTGAGCTAATTCAACCTCAGATATAATTTCAAGACAAATCAAATCAAGGGTTGATACGCATCAAAGATTGACCTACGACGTATATCTAAAGTTCATAATAATGCAAAAACGAGAATACAAATGAAAATGAGAACATCATTTACGATGAAGAAAACTGAAGCAATTTGATTTTTTTAAAATGGATTCTAGCATATGAATGCCCTTTTGCCGAACTATGACTGCAACGCAATATCAGCTTCAATCATATATTTTCAGTTTAGTAATCTTTATGCGCAGGTATTCAAGTTCGGACAAAATGGATAAAATATTGAAATAAGTATAGAACATAAAAATCCTTTGTCTTGTGAAAAATCTAATGCCGTTAAACAAAAGTATAGGATAGATGAAGGTTTCAATGTTCGTGACTATCTGTAACTGATTTGCAGTCACGGTCACGAACTTTTACAAACTATTTGTCATGGCCATGGCCGTGATCCTGACCGTGACTGTCATGAGTCACGATGGTTACGCCAGGTACTACTCACAATATTAAAAGTCATTATAATAGTCCTCAACCATATATTCATCAAGATGTTTTTTACTATCTTACATTCACACCTATCATAATTATTTTATAAGCATTGTATTCTACCTGAAAAGTACTACGGAATTTTTAGATGCTCTATGTACTTAAACAATTAAACGGCTTCCAATCACTATATTCAATTTCATAACCAAAGTGATAAGTTTTCGTTCATGAAAGATTATTCGAAAAATACTTTTTAGTGCTTCTCAAAAGTTGTCATCGATCTCACGCTATAGAGTACATAGATTCGTATTGTAAATGAAACATTCAAAAAAACAAAAATATCGTTCAAACTCTAATCAAAAGATTTTACAATTTGTATGAAATCTATGCAAAAATATTTGACATTCGTCGTATGTATGGTAACATAAATCATATTTATATCAGTATAAATGACAAAATAATGATTGCTATTAACTAACTATGATCACAAACGATTGTATTTTTACATTATCTCTTCATGTAAACTGTTTCTTTTCCAGAAAAAATGTAATATCATTTTTGCTAATGCGATGAATATTGTACTGTCATCATATTGATCGTAAGAATAAACAACTCAAATCACAATAAGCCGTTATTGATCCAATCTCATATATATATATATGCCTTTTTATGAACATATGCAACTTAAATTTTGAGAACTAGAAAATGAGTTTGTTTTTGCCAAGTCCAAGCTATTAGATGATATTAATATTTGCACATTGATTAAACACGTGTATAGATATTTTATATATCATTTCATTGCTTCTGTTCAGTCAATGCATTAAAATTAGATATTAAAGCGTTTAAATCTATAGATTATGATTGAATTTTTATTTTCAATGTGATTGTTTACCTTTGCATATCTAGACGCAGAATTATGAAGTCAAGTAGGTAAATATGTCCAATTCAAATAACATATTATAGCGTCATCGATGTTGTTATTAACACTCGTTTTCTTTCTTTTTTTGTCAATTACACTATAAATATCATTCGATAGAATAATATATGGAAAATGACAAGTTTTCATTGCGATAACAATTAGTATCAAGATAATTATATACATATATATACGTATATACTATTTGCCTTCGTATTCATATACATCTTCGGGCTATATTCGTTTTTTTTGTTTTGTTTTTTATTATTAATGACAAAAGAGAAAGACAGACCGTAATTGTGTATCAGCTCATACATATGTAAACATCAACCACATTATCAATGACCTAGTTAAGCAATAGAGCGATAAAAGAAATGGCTAATTCGATTCTATATCTATCGTATATATGTCCTTCAACAATATTTTGTCTCAAGTGTTTATCTGTCTATAACATTTATTGGTCAACTCATTAGTATCGAAAGAAACAAAGTATAAGCAGGGGTTATTTATATGTCTAGCTAGGCCATACAAAATGCAAAAAAAAAAATTGCATATATACACGCAATCAACTGATTTACATATGGGTCATACAGTAGTAATAATCTTATAATTAGTTTCTATAGGCGATATAGATATATGTATTTGTTTGTTTCTATTTGTGATGTCGATTGCGTGTATAAAATGAGGTGAGAACGTCGTTTTATATGTTTAGATAGTAATCGATCAATCGTCATTACTTCAATAACCAAATGTCTGCTTGCCTCTCAGCCATTGAACATAAAAAGTGGAAATAAGTGCATCGGTTTATATTTCTTCCGCTCTCTTTTATTTCCCTTCTTTGTCCATACTTTATACA